GCCTTCCCGAACATCCGGGAGGCTCGTTTTTCTCCTCGAGCCTCTGGAAGGGCAAAAATGGCCTCTCCTGGGTTCTGGGCCCATTTCTGGCCTTCCCGAACTTCTGGGAGGCCCGTTTTTCTCCTCGAGCCTCTGGAAGGGCAAAAATGGCCTCTCCCGGGTTCCGGGCCCATTTCTGGCCTTCCCGAACTTCCGGGAGGCCCGTTTTTCGCCTTGAGCCTCTGGAAGGGCAAAAATGGCCTCTCCCAGGCTCCGGGCCCATTTCCGGCCTTCCCGAACTTCCGGGAGGCTCGTTTTTCGCTTTCCCTGAGCCTCCGTGCACGCCCTGCAGTTACATGCATCCAAAACAGGCTGCGTGGGGACTTTTGGGAGGGGAGGGGTGGGGTAGGAGGGGCCAGCCAGGAGTGGGATTTGGAGGTTCTCCGCACAGAATCTTAGCTAGGGGCTCTCCCCGAATCCCTGAGAACACCCCCATCAGCTGACCCCTGCTTATAGCTGCTAGTAGATACTGTATACATTTGTAGATGTACTCATAGATAAGAGCCTCTCCTCAGTGGTGGTCGTTAAGTCGAGGACTTAATTTATTTATTTATTTATTTATTTATATGTCACAATTCTGAACTTCCCATCTCAACTTCATGACCACAACTGAGTGTCAGGATTCCGGCAGTTCACCCCGTCATTTAAATCATGAGTCTTGAGCCAAACTTCGAAAACTTCCAAAATGATTTATTGGGAGTTAATAGGCCGGCACTGCCTGGATGTAACCGACTCTGTGACCCATAACTCATGGTCACCCTTCACCCTGGTCTTCCCCCATCCCCTGGGTGTATCATCATTCATATTCTCCAATGGGACACATCCATAGTCCGGAGTCACCAATCATACTCTCCGGTTAGAATTTTGCTCGGCAGAAGTTTCAGTCACCTAGTTACTAACCATTTATGGAATGCAAGCTGCTCCCCCCTCTTCTGTTGGCGACTCTAAAAAAGACCGCAGAAGTGGTTTATGAGTTGACACCGAGTCCAAAACTGATGCCGCTAAGCAAGACAGTCGTTAAGGGAGTTGTGCCCCATTTTTACGACCTTTCTTGCCACGGTTAAGTGAATCACTGCGGTGGTTCAAGCTAGTAACCCGGTTGCTAAGTGAATCTGGCTTCCCCTCCTCCCTTACTCTGCTTGTCAGTGGGTCACACAAGGCGATCACAAGACCCCTGGACACGGCCACCGTCATAAATACGAGTCAGTTGCTTAAATATCCAGATTTTGACCTCCGGGATACTGCAACCGTTGTAAGTGTGAAAAATGGTCACCAGTTTCCTTTTTTCCAGTCCTGTTGTAACTTTGAATGGTCATTAAACAAACGGTTATAAGTTGATGGTTTTCTCACTTTGTCAGGCCAGGAAAATGCAGGTGGTCCTTGACTTACAACAGTTCAGTTAAGGACCGTTCAGTGTTACACCATCACTGAAAAAAAAAGCGACTTATGACCATTTTTCACACTTGCGACCGTTGCAGTATTCCCCAGGATGGTGCGATCAAAATTCGGATGCTTGGCAACTGCTTCTTATTTATGATGGTTGCTGTGTCCCAGGTGGTCACTTGATCCCCTTTTGCAACCTTCTGACAAGCCAAGTCGACGGGGAAGCCGGACTCACTTAACGACCCTGTCGCTCAGTGAATCACCTCAGTGATTCACTTGAGCCCCACGTGGCAAGGAAAGTCGCAAAGCGGGAACAAGCTCGCTTAACAAATTTCTCGCTTAGCGACAAACCCTTTGGGCTACAAAACAATGGTGGTCGTACGTTGAGGACTACCTGTATTGCTTGGGGAAATTCATCGCCCCCTCTGTTTCTCTTGCCTCCCTCAGCAGTGAGACCGAGCTCACCGTGCCCGTCACCATTCCCGACACCATCACAGATTGGAGAGCGGGAGCCTTCTGCTTGTCCCCCGCCGTGGGCTTCGGCCTGGCCCAAACCACCTACCTCAAGGCCATCCAGCCGTTCTTCGTTGAGGTCACCCAGCCATACAGCGTAATACGGGAAGAAATCTTTGCCCTGAAGGCCACCATCTTCAGTTATCTGAAACACCCTATGCAGGTGAGGAACCCTTCCATCTTTGCCGCCTCCATTCTCTTTCTGTCTGCATCGATTTCTCTCTGGAGGCATGGCCTGTTGTGGTCCGCCGGTGGCCTACGGAGATGGCAGCAAAGTGGAGAGGAACACGGGCCAGTCCTGGAGTCTGGGGAGGGCTTGGACCAAGGGATCTGCGTCCAACCCAGAGATGGGGCCAGGACCATCTGGGAGTTACGTGTTGACTCCAGAGCCTCCAGAATCTGACATCAGCGAGGCAGAGGAACAGGGGAAGCCTGTTCCCAGTGCGCGCTTGCTCAGAGCTGCCAGAAGGCAAGAGCAGTTAAGACAAAAGTGTAAGGCTACTCGAGAGTAAGGCTTGGAGATGATAGGCCCCCTCCCATACGACATAAAGGAGGAGCAAAGGGACATGAGCCTTTGCAGGAAGCAACTTTGTTCGTTCTGATCGGTTTAAACTCTGAAGCTCCGTATTGACTGTGTGCTCCATTTGGCCTCGTAGAGCTCATTGGCAATTTAGTCGGCAGCATTTCAAGGGAGATAAAGGTGGGTGCTTATCAGCCTTATCTCGAAACACTGTGGCAGACGTCTGTTGGACTCTTCACACAATGTTTGGGACTCATTACGGGCTGTGAATGCATATAATTCACAGCCGTTGAAATTTCTGACCCATTCTGGAGAACCGGTAGCGGAAATTTTGAGTAGTTCAGAGAACTGGCAAATACCACCTCTAATTGGCCCTGCCCCCATCTAGTCTCTGCCTCCCAAGTCCCAGCTGATCAGCTGGGTCTTCTTTCGCTGCCCTGCAGAGGAGAATGGAGCTGGAAAGCAGGTTAGTGGGGTGGAAACGGAATGGAGATTTTATAGTATCCTTCCCCTGCCATGCCCACCAAGCCACACCACGCCCACCAAGCAACGCCCACAGAACTGGTAGTAAAAAAAATTTGAATCCCACTATTGCCGTGTATACAGGTAGTTCCCAGTTCATTTAGTGGACTGTTGGCACCAATAAAAGGGATCTATGACCGTTTTTCACATTTATGACCCCATGGTCATGTGATCAAAATCTAGACACTTGATAACTGGCATGCACTGATCACGGTTAGGGTCTCCCACGGTCACACGCACCCCATGCTTACTAACCGCAGTGATTTATTTCACTGCCGGTATTGAGAAAGGTCATAAAATGGGTGGGGGGGAACCCTCACTTAATAACTTGTCTTGCTTAACGACAGACATTTCAGGGGGGGGGGATTGTGGTCGTAAGATCAAGGGCTACCTGTATTTAAGGCAAAGTTTGTTTGAAGCATGGTTTCCCGAAAGCAAGAATATGGGGAGTGAAAGTAACCGTGGTTGGTTTTTCAGTTTGGGCCCCTTTCTTCCTTCCTTTTCACTGCTTTTTTCTTTTCTCTTTGATGGGGTGGTTTGAGACGGAGAAAAATAAACCAGGAAAAAAAACCAGAAAAGTATCAATTATGTGTGTTCTTTCACCCATCACAGTCACAACCAGGAAGTCAATACCGAACTGGGGTTCAAACTATGCCTTAAAGCAGAGGTCTCCAAACTTGGCAACTTTAAGACTTGTGGACTTCAACTCCCAGAATTCCTCAGCCAGCATGAGGAATTCTGGGATTTGAAGTCCACAAGTCTTAAAGTTGCCAAGTTTGAGGACCTCTGCCTTAAAGCAAACCACGCTTTGTTCACTGAACCCGTTTGCATATCAGGCAAACTCTCTCACAAACCAACTTTTCCTTGTGTGTTCTTGAATAACCCAGATTTAACCATACAGCAGCATTTCCCTTCCTCTTTGCAGCTCGTCTTGTGATCGGGAAATTAGCGGGATGTGAGATGCTTTCAAAATGCTCATTCCAAAAAAGTACAGAAGAGAAATGATAAAAAAAAGCATGATTTTGATGCATTGTAAAATTCATCTTCCAGACCACAGAATTTAGAAAGGGTCCGTGCTCTCTCTCTCTCTCTCTCTCACACACACACACGGCTAAAAACAGAATAAATACATCTGTAAATATTTTGTAAAGCATTGGTCAGAGACGGGACTGACCGGTTTTTTTTTTCCTTTGAAGATGTTTCGATTCTCATCCAAGAAGCTTCATTCTGTCAGCTTCTTCTTCCACTATCCTGTCAGAGCTGAAGAAGCTTCTTGGATGAGAAGCGAAATGTCTTCAGAGGAAAAAAAAAAAAAAAAGAACGGGAAAGTCCAGTTGTCAGCTTTGGAATCCGTATTCATCGCTGCCACATAGCTTGAGAAAGTGGGACGGGGGTGATTTTTACTGCGTAGCTCTAAGTAGACAAAATAGAATTGTTTTGTTCGTTCCAGGTCATAGAGTGTGACGCAGAAGAAAAACGGAATTTACTCTGGGATTGGTTCATGTGATGTGAAGATGAGGGGGAAAAGGGGATGGTTTGTAGTTTTGGGACATTGTGGGGAGTCCGGGAAACTTTTAGTATCGAAATTCCACAGATGTGCCAGGTGCTCTTCTAATAAAGGTACTTCTGAGATTATGCTCATCTCGGAATGACTGATTGGAATGGAGGTTCCTTGGAACGCTGACACCAATTGCCTCCTGAAAAAGCACCTTTGGGAAAAACTGGTTGTAGTAACTGTATTCTAAGTGTAGATTCAGTACGGCATTCAGGGGTGGGCTTCGAAAATTTCAGCAACCGGTTCTCTGCCCAGTTGCTGGGTGTGTGTGGCCATGGTGGGCATGGCGTAGTCGGCCTCCTGCAGCACGGCGGGGCAGGGGCGGCGTTTTCCCAGGCTCCGGAGGCTTTCCTCAAACCTCTGGGAGAGTGAAAATGGCCTCCCTTGGGCTCTGGAGGCCAGAAACAGGCCCGTTTCTGGCCTTCTGGAGCCTCCGGGAGGCCCTGTACTTACCTCACATCCAAAATGGGCCATGTGGAGACTCCTGCGAGGGCCGGGGCAAGGTAGGAGGGGTAGGATTTGGTGGCTCACCGAACCGGACATAACATTAGTTACGGCCCACCCCTGACAGCATTATTAAGTGGTAGCAACCCTTCTCATGGACTTGATTCTATCCCTGTGTTCATGCAACCTAGAATTGATATTGTTGAACTACAGCTCTCGGCCTCCCTCAGAGTTAACTGCTACCCAGCGCAGCTGGGGGATGTAGTCCAGCGAGATTTTGGAAGGGCTCAGATTCTCCACATCTGCTGGAGGCCCATCTGACATTTGGGGTGGCGTTCATCTCCTCTTCCTCCTTGTTCTGTGAGCCTGTGAGGTGTTAGAAATTGATAGTCACCTAACAGTTGGGTTGGAAATATATAAACCAGGGTAGACCTTTAATACTGTCTCTTTAAGGGAATGCTAAAATTGTAATTGGGTGTGGTTCCTCAAACGGCCATAAGATGGAACCAGAAACCTGGGTTGTTTAATCCTGTTGTTGATAGTTGCTAGTTGGTCGATGTTCTGATGTTCGTTGTTTTGGGTTCCTGAATGTTGCTGATCGTTGTTCTTCTTGGATTGCTGTAAGTCTGGTGCTGAACTGTTTATGATACTGGACTTTGATATTTGGATTATCCCTGGACTGAAAAACTGACTGCTTTAACCGTGTATGACTTGGACTGCTTGTTGGACTTTGCTTAACCGTTTAGTGAAAGTAAAAACCTACATTTTACTATACAGTGTATCTGTGTGCTGGTTGTGTATTATTCCTCACCACTCTCACTACGTCTCCCTGTGTGCACTCATTCTCCTAACGGGGAATTACCTCAACATGAGGCAACGGTGATCTTCTTCCATCTAACTCCTTTCTGGCCATCGACAGGTCAGCATATCGCTATTGCTTTCTCCCGACTTCGATGCTTCCCCTGTGGACAAGGAACAGGCTTCCTATTGTCTTCCCGTGGATGGAAGGAAAACAGTCTCATGGAAAGTTACTCCCAAAACTCTGGGTAAGTGCTGAAGGTTAAACATGGCTTCTTAGGCTCATGCCTCAGCATGCATATATTCCATATACTTTTTTTTATTGGGTTACAAGCAGGGGTGAGATTCAGCCGGTACAGACCGGTTCGGGCAAACTGGTAGTTCCGGCGATGAAGTGGCCCCGCCCACCTGCCCCTGCGTTAGTCTGCGAAGCGCGCTCTCACCAAACCGGTTGTTACACCAGTTGAATCCCAGCACTGGTTATAAGATAAGATACAAAATAGACAAATAAATAGGAAAACGGTGGGGAGGAAGAAGGGGAAGAAAAGTGAGGAAGGATAAGAAAAAAGAACCATTGACTTCCGACTCTCTCTGTGGCAGTAAAGATCAAGTGAGGTAGTAATACCACTCTATAAAGCTTTAGTAAGACCACACCTAGAATAATGCATCCAATTTTGGTTACCATATTATAAAAGAGATGTTGAGACTCTAGAAAAAGTACAGAGACGAGCAACCAGGAAGATTAGGGGACTAAAACATATGAAGAACGGTTACAGGAACTGGGCGTGGCCAGTCTAGGGAAGAGAAGGACCAGGGGAGACATGATAGCAGTCTTCCAATATTTGAGGGGCTGCCACAGAGAGGAAGGGGCAAGGTATTTTCTAAAGCACCTGTAGGCTAGACAAGGAATAATGGATGGAAACTGAACAAGGAGAGATTTAACCTGGAAATAAGGGAAAACTTTCTGACAGAACAATCAACCAATGGAACAGCTTGTCCTCAGAAGTTGTGGGAGCGCCATCACTTGAGACCTTCAAGAAGAGATGGGACTGCCATTTGTCAGAAATGGTGTAGGGTCTCCCGCTTGGGCAGTGGGGTTGGACTAGATGACCTGTATGGTCACTTCCAACTCTGATTATCTGTTATCTGTTAAGTAAAATAAGGCATTAACGTCAAATCACAACTTTTGGGTTTTTTTTTTCATAATAATATGAACAAGCCGGTGGTGGGTGGGCCCAGCAGCTAATCCTCGGAGCTACCTGTTCAGCCGAACCAGGCCAAACCGGTAGAATACCACCAAGTATTGGAACAAGCCACTTCTATAAAGATCTATCCATCTCATCTGTAAAACCCCAAATCAAGGTTTAATTCCTTTCTACTTCAAGCACAAAGTTCGGAAGCCATCTGAAGAGGGGGAGGGAGAGAGAGAGAGAGAGACAGAGAGTTTGATGACTGCTTATGTCTATAAGTATAACCACACTGAAACCCCTGCACAGGTAGTCCTTGACTTACAACAGTGACTATTCAAAGTTACAAGGGCACTGAAAAAAAATGACCATTGTGACCATTTTTTCACACAACCTTCACCGCATCCCCCGGGGTCTCACGATCGAAATGCGGACACTTGGCAAACGGTTCGTATTTACGGCGGTTGCACTGTCCCAGAGCCACCCAGGTCTCCTATTGCAACCTTTTGACCAGGAAAGTCAATGGGGAAGCAGGACCCCCTTCTTAACAACTCGGCGTGACTAACTTAACAACGGCAGCAATTTTCCTTAACAACCGAGCTGGAAAGGTCGTAAAATGGGGCAAAACTCACGTAACGACTGTCTCGCTTAGTCTGTGATTCTTATCGCCCAGACCCAGCTCAAGGTCCCTGGGGTTCCGCTGGCTGTTTGTCCTTACCCAGACCCAAAAAAAACAAGAAATAAAGGAAAAAAGTATAGCTATAGCAGTAACACTTAGATTTATATACAGGGTGGGCTGCTGGGGTTCTCAGGGGTTCAGGAGAGCCCCTAGCTAATAAGATTCTTGGCAGTTCTGAGGACCCCCAAATCCCACTCCTGGCTGGCCCCGCCCACCCTTCCCCGCCCCTCCCAGGAGTCCCACGCGCAGCTCGATTTGGATGCAGATAAGGGCAGGCCGCACACGGAGGGTGAAAAACGGGCCTCCCAGAAGTTCGGGAAGGCAAAAAATGAGCCCGTTGATGGGTGGGTGTGGCCTACTCGATCTCCTGCACCATGGCTGGGGTGTTTTTGCCCTGCCCGGGCTCCGGAGGCTTTCCTCGAGTCTCCAGGAGGGAGAAAATGGCTTCCCTGGGCTCCTGAGGCTTTCCCTGAGTCTCCAGGACGGAGAAAATGGCTTCCCTGGGCTCCTGAGGCTTTCCCCAAGTCTTCAGGAGGGAGAAAATGGCTTCCCTGGGCTCCGGAGGCTTTCCCTGAGTCTCCAGGAGGGAGAAAATGGCTTCCCTGGGCTCC